CACACACACACACACACACGCACGCACACACACACACACACACACACACACACACACACACACACGTCGCCCGCAGACACACAGCGGCCAATGCGCAACCCCTCAACACTCACACTCCTTACTGGCTACGTAAGTAATCTTTAAGTCTTCACAATATTGGGGGGCGCACTGGACAGAGACACATGCATCGTTTAATTACGCTGACATGTTTATTCGATTCAACAGTCATTATAGAAAAAAGGTGGTGGAGAGGGAGAGACAAACAAACACTAGTCTGCTGCGACACGTCTCTTTTGTTTGACAAGCGCACCGCGTCGTTGTTGCTTTACAGTCTTTTTTTTTCTATAAAAAAAAGAAATCCGTAAAATAGATGCCCTTCTCAAATCAAAAGACCTAGCAGCGCCGACAGCGCCGTGACCACTGCGCATGCACACAGCATCGACGTGCCGCTTTCCGGTTCCGCCTTCGCGGCGTCCACCCCGTCGCTCGTCGGCGTATGCATGTGGAGCTCGGAGTCGTCGCTGTCCGGCAGCGATGGCGTGGCGGCCGGCGGACAGTCCATCTCTTCGAATTTAACGTCCGTCACCGACAGTCCGTCGTATTTCGGCGGCGCGTTGCAGACGATCTTCTGCAGATGCTCGCGGCTGAGCTGCGTCGAGTCGTACTTGTTGATCCACTGCCAGTAGCAGTTGCAGTTGAAGCGGCTCTGGCCCATATCGAGACGATCGAGCTCGCCCGCGAGGCCGACGAGGCTGGCGAAGTCGAGCGTGGCGACATCGTCGAGGTAGAGTTTGCCGACGTTGACGACGCCGTAGAAGGCGAAGCGTTCGATGTACGCAACGCCCTTCAGCTGTATGTTCTTAATGTTTTCGGCGCCGGAGAATGCCAGCGAAGAGATACTGGCGTTAGACGCGCACGCCATCTGCAGGACGCGCACGTCGCGCAAGCCGCGCAACGCGTACGCCGGCACGTCGGTCATGTTCGAGACGAAGATGAGGCTGTGGACGTCGCGCAGGCCGTTGAACGTGTCCGGTCGCAGCGCCACCTCGTTCGCCGTCGCGATGCTCAGCTTGCCGACGCCTGTGAGGTTTGCGAACGCGAACGACTCGATGCCCGTCAGCGGGTTGAAGTTGAGATTCAGCTGGCCGACGTCCGACGATCCGGCGAAGGTGTCGCGCGCGATGACGTCGATCTTGTTCGAGCTCAGGTCGATAACGCGCACGTCGGCAAGGTCGCTGAAGGACATCGCCGGCAGCGCCTTTAGCGGATTGTCGCGCAGTTCGATCTCGCGCAGGTCGGGTAGGCCGCGGAAGGCGTGCGGCCGCACGTGGAACAGCTTGTTGTTCGATATGCGGATCGTGCGCAGCTTGCGAAGCTGCGCGAACTGGTCGCTCTTGATCTCCGAGATGAGGTTGTGGCTGAGGTCGAGGTGCATCGTGTCCGGCGGCAGCTCGTGCGGAATCGCGGTCAGCTCGTTGTTGGTGCACATCACCGAGTCGTCGGTGCAGAAGCAGTAGTCGGGACAGTTTGTCTTGCGGCCGGCTGCCGCCAGAGAGACGGCGACGACTGCCGTAACGAAGAAGAGAGCCCTCATCCTAGCTGCTGATGATGAAGCTGCTGCTGCTGATGATGATGCTGATGCTGATGCTGATGCTACTGCTACTGATGCTGCTGCTGCTGATGATGATGATGATGATGCTGATGCTGATGCTGATGATCACTGCCGAATCTCTAGATCCCTTTCTAGACTGCCTGCGTTGAGAAAATAGATAACATATCATGAGTGAAACTGTACATACATCTTTAAACCTGCGTGGGGAAAGAGAACATATAAATGGCACACGATATATAACTGTTTCAACAAGAATCGAAGAAAATCCATATGAGAGAAACTCTATGTATCTTTCAGCCTGCGCGGAAATGGTAATATATATATCTAACTCCATATCTCTTTCAATCGGTATGGAAAAGAATAAGATACGGATAAACCTCTATGTCTCGTTCAACTTTAACTAGAATTTGAACTAGAACTACAACTAGAAGTGTCCAATCTGTGTGGGAATAGATAGCATATGAGTGAAATACTTCAGACATACGAGAAATACGGCTATATCGCTCTCAACCCGTGTGGGAAATATTGACGTCTAAACGAAACGAGTAAAAACGTTGGACTAATGTTGTGCGGACGCGCGTAGAAACTATGTCCAGATTCTTCCAAAATGCGTGAAAAAGGATAGCATCTGCGTGAGACTGCGTGGACGTGTAAAGAGCAATGGCTAGTAGACGTGTTCCACTTGCAACTTGCTTTTCCAGCGTGCAAAAAGATCATATCTGAGTGAAGCTGTGAGTGAGACGAGTTGTTTCGCGGGGGTCTGTCTGATGGTGGTCTTCGCACTGCACGCGTACGTTGTTAAACGTATAACACGCGTGCTTTACACAAACTGAATGGACGAAGTCCTTGAACCCAACGCGTAGGCAGTGAAGCCAAAACAGTTTCCGTCTGCTAAAAATTGTATAGCGGTGAGACAAAAAAACGATGGAGAAAAAAATCGCTTAGCAAGGAAGATGCACATGCTGATCAATTATTTCTGGTCACGTTAAGAGCCTTTCCGTGCAGTGTACAATGTATATGGATGCCCTGGAGCCGTAAGCCGAACAAATCCGAGGGTCGACACACGATATTTGCGTCCACAGTCACGCATATACGTGTGTGTACGTTATTTTTATCGGAAGTAATGATTCCGAGTTGAACTAAGACACAAGAGACACTCGCGGGCAGGTGGCATGCCGAAAAAAACCGTTGTTTTTACGCAAAATAAAATTGAAAGTGCCGCAGAGTATATAATCATGATCGGCCATATTAAGTGAAACACGGTGGGTATTAGCTCCTGATCCGCCAAAAGACTTCTATTTTACATTTCAGCACATCGACCTCTTATCTTATACACCATTAATAGCTATGGCGCCGAATCCTGAGAGAGGTCAGTAACCATGCTCCACCTTAGAGTTCACTCATACCGATTCATATACACAACAATCTCTGTCAGTGACCATAGCGATCGTGCCGCAATACTATTAATAGAAGGAAACCTACGAGTGTGATTTTACGTTTGCTATTAATATCTGGCCCACGCCCTCGATCGAGTTCGCCAATCGATAGCGATTGGTTAGTGCCGCGCATGCGCTATCACTCGCAGCGCAGACACACGAACGATCGGCTTGTTACGAGAATTTACTAATATTAGCGACATTAATAATTATTATTATTAAGATTAAATAATTATTAGCGACATTATCGAAACGTAAAGGCGTTATTTCCGATTAATATGTATACGCGCGTATACAGATTTCTAAACACGGAGCCCGAATACGGAATTGCCGCGAATGCAGGCTCTGAATACAGATGGTTAGTATCCAAGAGTGTTTTTTGTGTGTTTCCCCACACGACAGCCTGCATGTGTCGAATGGGCAAACCCCGCATTTGCGTCTGTCTGGGTCAGACAAACAGACGTGCCACTCGAATCTGCATCAGCTGTTGCAATGTTGTCCTAATTTTGCCGAAGCAGACGGACGAGGAAATGTAACTAGAGTGTGTCTTATGGAGGAGCCATCGTCTGGCCGCCCGCGAGTACGCGGAAGCATCTGTCCGCTCATCCATTAATAGTTGTCAATAACAGTAGGTTAGAGAGAGGGGGAGAGGGGGAGAGAGAGAGGAAGAGAGAGAAATGGAAAGAGGAAGGCAGAAAGAGGACAGAGAGAGAGAGAGGGAGGGAGAGAGAGAGAGGGAGGGAGAGAGAGAGGGGGAGAGAGAGGAGAAGGGAAGGGGGAGGAAGAGAGAGGGGGGATGGGTAGCATTTGTCATCGGGAGTCGAGAACACACACTGACACACGCACACACACACACACACACACACACACACACACACACACACACACACACGCGCGCGCGTACGCAAGCACATGCATGCACACGTTAGTCTGGTGTCGCTCATGATCATGTAAAAACCGCCTCCTACAATAGGGTTAAGGTTGAGCAGACTGGGTGTAAGACGGTATAAGCCACGTTTGAGCTCACGACCAACCGCACGCACACCACCGCAGAGGCGCACGAATGCACGTACGCACGCACACATTCGCGCATGCACGTATACACACATAAAAAACCGCACGCACACCACCGCACACACACACGCATGCATACATACAACCCCCCCCCCCACACACACACACATATACAAGCGCGTAGCCACGCGTACATCTATCCATCCTAAGAAAATCTGTCTAATTTCTTCATCATTCTATAATTAGTATTACCACAAAAATACATCATCACCGCCAGTAACAGTACACCTAGCGGTGACGCATTTCGTCTGTTCCCGCTGCTATACACGCGTTGATAACTGCTGTGCGTTGGCAGGGGGGGATATCAATTCGTGAACACGAGAAGCCAAATGAAAACACATCCTTCAAACGTGGTCTATAGCCAAGCGATGTTTTTCGCCCTGCCATTATACAATCCGCCGTACTTATGAAAACCGATATTCAATACTTTACACACGCAGAACAGTGCATCGACCATCTACTATAAGTAGCTACAGCGAAGTCAATATCAACTTTTGTTGAACCGAAGGTATGAAAAGCCGACGAACAAAATGAGAACATATACTTACATACAGGTTTATCCAGTGGTAATAAATCTATCAAGGGTTTTTGTAGCATGCTTGTCATGGAGAGTACGACTATCAGAGACATTTTATTAGTGACATAGCCTTCGCATCACACCCGTTGTTGTGCATGCACGCACGAGCGACCACAAGACTGACACCCACACACCCACTCACACACACGCGCAGACACAGGCGCGCGCACACATACAACACACACACACACACACACATACACACCCACACACACGCGCAGACACAGGCGCGCGCACTCATACACACACACACACACACACACACACACACACACACACAACAACACACACACACACACACACACACACACACACACACACGACTACACACGACGACGACGACGACACACTACACACGACGCGACGACACGACGTACGAC